CTGGTTTATTTTGTAAGCTAAGGTTATAACCTGGATGGCTGTTTTGTAGACAACATAATTTTTTGATTACCTATATAGATTTTTGGCATATTCAGCATAGGAGAGAGGCGTGGCTGCTCGTTTCTGCTAACCTCTAACTAACATATGAAAAAGAAAACAAAGCAAAAAGTGAGCAAATAATCTAGAAAACTCTCTCAGTTAACAAAATCATACTTATCAAGCATGTTATAAAATACACTAAATCATGGATTTTAGTGCCCAAAATAGCCTCTTTTAATCCATATAATTGATGAACTACAGAAGTCAATGATAAAGCAAGATGGTTATGTACTACGTGGACGTAAGACAAATAGTTGGCAAAAATCAAAAAATAAAAAAAGTAAATCACCAGTTTATTAATTACTATCTGAAATCTGGTATACTCAAAGCCATATATACCTGTAGCTAACCTATGTGATGGTTGATGTAGATGCACCAACATATTTTTCTCTTCACAATCTAGCTTCTTTTCGATAATCCTCTTACTCACTTGTCATGTAAGATATCCATCAGCCATGCAGCTAAGACGTTGTGCCATAATCCTCTTTTCCAATCCGCTTTATCCCAGCAGCTCACTTGCATTCTCTTATCTACTCAGTTAGCGCTGATTCGGAAGAGTATTATTCTCAGTCTTGAGAGTTCCCTCATGTTCCATGTAAAGGAATCACCATATATTCAGAGATTAGGTTAGCGACTGATTATATCTAAATTTTTTTGTGTTATCTTACCACTACATGAGGACGATGGTCCTGCTACTCTGCCATCTTATTCTCCTTGCTTCTACATTCTTTCTCGTTCCCGATCAGCTTCTTCTCCTCCCTTGGCCGGTTGTCTTTGTAGAAATCTTTGAGAAGTTTTTTTTTTTGGCTCCAAGTAAACCTTGTTCCCTACCAGATCTATTTCGTGAAGACTAACCTGTGGCTGGTTCATCCATTGAACTCTCTCGAGAGAGGTAATCAGAAATTAGAGAGTTAGAATCGAGAAGAAAGTGATGATTGGAAGATGAATTGTTTTGAGGGATAAATAGATGATACCAAAGAGTTTAAGGAAGATGGATCATTGTTACAATGAAAGTGGAGAGAATTGGGAACGTCTGAGAAGAGAAACTGTGAAAAAAAAGGAATGGGATCAAATAAGCTTTTGGTGCTTATGTCATGTAGCGTTTCCTTAAAAAAATATATATATAACAAAATGCTGTATGTCCATAATATATGGGTTTGGCCCAAAACTAATTTTCAACTTTTTTTCATAAATTTTTAAGTTGCTGATGTGGCTCGATTATATAGAGTTTTTTTCTGGCTGAGCTGGATAGGTTAAGGAACCCCGAACAGCTCCTTTTATTTAGTATAGATGTGAGTTATACAATGAAATTTTGTTTGTCTAATATCAGGTGTATTTATGGATAATCACACGAATGGCCACTTTTCTTGTTGAAAGTCTAGAATCGGTTTGAAAATTACACCACTTAATTGCAAGTAACCTACAGTAAAACCTCTATAAATTAATAATGTTGGGACTTCAAAAATTTATTAATCTATAGAGTTATTAATTAATTAATAAATTAATAATTAATAATTTATCGAGAAATTAATATTTTATTAATTTATAGAGAGATATTTTAGTTCAAATTTAAAATATTTGTCAAAAAATAAAAAAAAATATTTTCAATAATGTAAAATTTATTCAGAAAATATCATATCAGTGAATTTGAAAAATAAGTCAAACAATTTTTATAAACTTGAAACAATAATATAATTATATTTTACTATATTATATTATTTATATATGCTTAAATGTATAATTATTAATTTATCTAATTATTGGGATTATATTTTTACATAGGAGTTTCAAAAAAATTATTATCTTATTATCTTATCAAAATTTGCTAATTTTTACACTGATCCGACTTGAGACCGGCAAAAGTTATTAATTTATAGTGATTACTAATTTAGCGAATATTAATTTACAGAGGTTCTACTGTATAAGTTTATGTGAATTTAAGTAATTGTTTGGTTAATAGTTTAAATCGGATCAATCCTATGTTTAAAAGTGTATTAGGCTAAAGATGAGCTTCATTTATGGCATAAAGTATTAAGACATTGTTACCTTAATGAAATTGTTTAAAGAATGCAATGGCACATAATATAACTAACACAGTAAGTAAAGGTTAATTTTAATTAATGATTCTTTTTTTAATAATATATATAAGTATTAATTGTTATCAATAGTTACTCTTGCATGTAGAATATAATAACTGTTACTTATTTTTGTTATTAATTACAAGTGGTTAATTAGTTGTTGCTTTGCCTGTAAATGAAATAATCGTCTTTGAAGTGCAATAACATAAATTACGTACAGTACAAAGCATCTTCCCTAAAAAAAACTGTGGTTAGTGTTATGGATTCTTCATCTACAAATCCGAATGCTTCAATCATGTCAAATTCGAGAGAGGTATATTTTCTCTAATAGTTTTAATGTTTTATACATTGTTCCATGCTAGTTGTTTTTATTAATTTTATGGGATTCAAATATATAGAAATCTTATTTTCTTCTGAATGTATGATATATTGTAGCCAAATAAGCTATGGTCGGGATCTCATGCATCAAGTATTTCTTGAAATAAAGAAATAATTCACATTTTAATAAAAATTTAAATATGTCATCTGTTTTTTAAAAATATATTTCTAAGTATATATGTTTGATATTCTTTTATGTTATATCAATTAATATTTAAAAGATTTTATAGCAAAATTTTATTTTAAATTTTTACATTTCACCATTCCGTAAAAGTTATCCAATCATGTAAAAAAAATTATTCTGCAATTTTTTTTTCACCATTTTGCAGATTATTTTTTTTCTTCACAATTACGCAATGTTACCAATCGGAGCCTTAAATGGAGATAGTTAGGATGAAACCACAAAAAAAAAATCACCTTATTCTAACATCAGATTTCAAAAAACCTGTTTTTAAAAAGAGAAATGAAAAAAAAAATGAAAGGAGAAACCATCGAATCTCCTTCCAAATCACTTCTAGAGAAGAAAACATTTCTTTTAAAAAGTAATGGCTGCAACTAGAATGTATTTTTATGGGATAGATTTATTGAAATATTCTATATATTCCATTTTTATGAATGAAAAAAAAAGTAAATCTTTCTTAAAACTTATTCTTTTTATTTCACTTTCTAAATTTAGAGGAATAAAAGGAATGAATAGAATTCACTATTACATTAACAATTCAGTTTTTTATTCCATTTTTTGTTCAATCTCTTTAATTCCTTTTAAACATGAGTTTTTTAGCCAAATAACCATATTGGATAAACAATTAGAGAGTATAGCAATACTATTCAAAAAATATAGAAAGTAACCATATCTCACATGAAAAGACTAAAAAGTATATATATTTTAAACTGCGAACATTTGTAAAAGATAGTTTTGATTATAACACATAAAATTTTTCGGACTATACTATACTATATAATATATGTTCTTATACGAAAAAGTTTATATACTATAATACTTGAAGTTCTAATTACATTTTAGTTTTATATTACTATACCATACTATATCAGTTTTTTTATTATCATAATTTACTATTTACAAAAATAATTATTTTATATAATTTATATAGCATGACTCATGGAGGAGAGGGGAGGGGATGGGATGGGAGGGGAGGGAAGAGAAGGATGGGAGAGGAGAATAGAGGGAGGGGAAGAGGTGAAGAGATGGAAAGAGGTGAAGGTAAAAGAAGAGAAAGGGAAGAGAAAAAAGAGAATAACTAAAATTAAAAAGGATAGTTTGATATATATTGTATAAAATATAAACAATACTATAATATCTTTTTTTATAGTTATTTTATTAATTTGAACTGGTCATATGATTATTACTGTCAATTTCCCTTTAAACATAACCACTTTTTTTTTCTCTGTACTTTTGAACTATACAAGTATTATGGTTGGTGCTTTTTTTTGTCGTCTTTGTAATATTAAGAACCCAACTTAGGTAAAGCAGAGGTTACAAGTTTACAACATCTCAAAGGTCCATAGCATGACAAAATGAAGTCCAAGAAAACTAAGGTTACAAGCTATACACGTGTATGTACACATATAAGATAAGAACAACATCACAAAGACATGTGTCAAAATCGAGAGTGTTGATGCAGCGCCGCTTCTTCACCGATTCACCGGCGAAGCTTGAATTATCTCCACAAGCTGCATCAAAAAACATGCTGCTTGTTCTTTTTGCATTTGATCGCCATAGAAAATTACTCAGATCTGTAACTTAGCCATCGGATAATAAAATTGGAAATCACTAGAAGATAAGAACAAAATATTTATCGAACCATTAGTCGACGCTACTTACTCTGCTTAGATCTACCTAAATAATTCTATAAACTTGATTCTTCAACATTAAGAGAACCACTTCTCCAAAAGGACGACCTTAATAATAACAGAGAAGCGTAAAATTACTCTCTCATGAGAAAACCAAGCATAAACCGATGATAAGAAATCTGAATAAAATATATGGAATAGAAAACGAAACACTAGCAAAAGGCGAAAAAACAAAGTAAAACAAAATTATCTGACAAAGCGGAAAAGAAAATCCGACTAAGCGGAAACCAAAAGCATAAGATCCGAAAAAATATACACAGCACGGTGCCAGCATCTCACCGGCCAAAAAAACTCAGATTAGAATAGGTTTGTTCTTTGAGAGAACTAAGAGAGAGAATTGATAAGAAAATTGAGAAAACCTCTCTCTTCTTATAACGAAGTAAATTATGGTTGGTGCTAATGCTACGTTTTTTCGTTTAAAAGATTAGTTTAGGTTAATGAAAATCAGTTTAAAAAGAGTGATTTGGACTAAAGAATATAAAAACAAAATTTCTGATATTAATCTGAATTCTAAAGTCGAAATTAGGGCTTTTGATAAACATCAAATTTTTGCAATCTTTCTTCTTCTTCTCCATGGCCTCCCGTAACGGTTCTCTGATCCCTCGTCTTGGCTACGCGAATTATTCCTCAGTGAGGGAGGAGCAACCGTCGTTGCTACCCTCACCGGCGACAATTCCGCGGCTGCACCAGCGACACCAATCTGAACAACGACGGGGAGAATTTCCGGCGGTGATCAGAACCGAGACCATCAATAAGGAATTCACGATCGGGCAATCTAAACATCCGCAATTTTTGAAATCCATCGACGAATTAACCGCGTTTTCAGCTGCAGTTGACGCCTTTAAACGCCAGTACGATGACCTGCAGAAGCACATGGATTACATCGAGAACGCAATTGAATCCAAACTCAAGAGTAACGGCATTGAAATCGCCGCCGCCTCGTCCTCCTTCCACTCGCAGTCGTCACCTCCGCGGAACGTAGTTCCTGCCGCGGTTGTGTGCCAATCGCCTAAAGAGACGACTGAGACAGTACCGGAGATGTCGAATAAGCCGGAGGGGCAACGATTGTGCAGCAAGGGCCTGCGCAAATACATCTACTCGAACATCTCCGACCGAGCTAAGCTAATGAAAGAGATTCCGGAAGCTTTGAAATTAGCGAAGGAGCCAGCGAAGTTCGTGTTGGAATGCATCGGGAAGTTTTACTTACAAGGGCGCAAAGCATTCGCCAATAATAATTCGCCTATGATCCCTGCGAGGAAAGCTTCACTTCTCATCCTCGAGTGTTTTCTTCTAATGCTTGATCCTGGTGAAGAGAAGAACCTCAAGTTTAAGATTGAGAGCTCTGTAAAAGACGAGGCCGACGCGGCTGCTTTTGCTTGGAAGAGGAGACTGATGAATGAAGGAGGATTAGCTGCGGCGGAGGCAATCGACGCAAGGGGTTTGCTTCTGCTAATTGCTTGTTTTGGTGTTCCTTCAAGCTTTGGGAATACGGATTTGCTGGATTTGGTAAGGCAGAGTGGTGCTGCTGAGATCGCCGGTGCTCTAAAACGCTCACCTTTTCTTGCCACAATAGTTTCAGGTACCATGTTTCTTCTTGATTCTATGACTTTCCATTGCAAAGTTGGTTCCTTTTGGTATAAAATCAATCGGCATCAAATTCCATATTTGTTTTAGAGTACATTGGGAGTAGAACTGTATGTACCATGCAATGAACTAGGAGGTCACATGGCATTTTAGAGTGCATTGATAGGAAATAAAGATCACAAAAATTATTGTTTGTTGTGGCTTTGAATATTGTAAGTTACAGTCATATGACTTTGCTGTTGGCTGTTGCATACTGATTAAGCCTTGAGCAATGTTGGTTAAAGGGTTTTAAAACTGGTCCTAACACAGTATTCTATTGGTCATAGGTATAGTTGACTCAAGCATCAAGCGTGGAACGCAAATTAAAGCTCTTGAGATGGTTTATACATTTGGGTTGGAGGATAAGTTTCCACCTTCTTCACTTCTAACTTCATTCCTAAGGATGAGCAAGGAGTCATTTGAGAAGGCAAAACGAAAAACCCAGTCACCAATGGCATTTGTAATATCTCTTCCTTCCTTCCTTGCACATTATGTACCTCTTCTTTTTCCTCATTCTGGAAATCTAACCATTGTTTGTGTTTTATCTTTCTCAACAGAAAAAAGCCATTGAAAAACAGTTAGCCGCGTTATCGTCAGTGATGCGGTGTTTGGAGACTCACAAGCTAGACCCCACCAAAGAAGCACCAGGGTGGCAGATCAAAGAGCAGATGGTCAAGCTGAAGAAAGACGCTCGTCAGGTCGACAAACAGATGGAGGAGCAAGCAAGATCCATCAGTTTAATGGAGGAAGCTGAGCTCACCAAGAGATTGTATAGCCAACAACAACAGATGAAACGTCCGAGGTTATCAGACATGGAAATGCCAACAGCACCAGTAGCTTCCTCGTCCTACTCTCCTATATACCGTGATCGAAGCTTTCCTAGCCACAACAGAAACGAGGATAGAGATGAAATATCAGCTCTTGTGAATAGTTACCTCGGCCCTTCATCATCTTTTCCTCATCGCTCAAGTCTCAGGAGATCCCCTGAATATATGGTTCCTCCTTCATATGAACAACTGCACTCAAGTTCTTACACTTCGGTTCAAAGACGGCACTCTCCGGTTCACGAACAGAGGCTTCCTCGAGAGTACTCTCCTCAAATACCTTATGGTATACAAAGGGTTTACAGACATTCACCATCTGTTGAAAGATACTTGGGTTTGCCTCATCACAGGTCTCCTCGCAACTCATCACAAGACAGCAGAGGAGGAATGTAAATATGTAACAAAAGGTTTTTTGTTTTTATGGCAGTCTCAAAAGTTTAGGGCTTTCAATAAGCAAAAAATATTGTTTTTTTTTTGTAATTGACATTTCCTTTCAGATGCTAATATTATTTTGCTTATCAGGTTTTGTTTAGTCAACCTCAGATACATCAATATCACTATCTAAGTAAACCTCCGGCTCTTCATCATCTTGATTCTCTTCATCTTCTGTATCATTTCCTTCTTGTTCTCTTTGGACTGCTCGAGCTATTGCAGATTCTAGCCTTGTGCTTACAGTTTCCCATGAAACAAGCTTCTCCATGAATGTATTTATGTATTCAGCTCTTCGGTTCTGCACAGGACATAAAAACAACATGAGAATGTAGAACCACTGCTTTCAAATTGTAGTGAAAAAAATCATTGGTACCTCAAAATCCAGATAGTAAGCGTGCTGTTTGGCACAAAGAGATGAAAAAGAAAACTAAGTCAGAGATCAAGAAACTAATCTTTGTAGGTGAAATTCAGAGGGAGAGAGATGAATTAGCTTAATGTTATACCTCCCATGTATCAATGGTGAGAAGTGGCTGCACATAAACGGATGAGGAACTCAAACTCCATAGCCAAAAACAAAGGTTTCATCTATATTTTTGGAAAGTTTAAAACACTCACAGAATAATCCCATACGAGTGGATTCACTGCACTTGGAGTTTTCACTATCACAAGCTTCTTGTCTTCCTCCTTTGGTAGCGGATTTACAGCATTTGCAACATCAAGTCTATTCGCCTTGTCTGCATCAATGGATCCCCACAAGCTCCAAGTAAGTTGAGAGTTTGCATTCTTCTACGGTAAAGGTAACACAAATTTACAAAAACACTCACATGCAAGCCAAGTCCAACCCGAACCAAAGTTCGAGGCTGCAGCCGCCTTGAACCTTTCTAAAAACTCGGCGAAAGACCCAAAATCTCTATCTATTAGCCTGAGGAGATCTCCACTTGGCTTTCCTCCACCTCCTGGTTGAATAGACTCCCAGAAGAACTCGTGGTTCCAAGCCTACAAAGCAAACTCTTGTCACGTCTTAATGTATGTAACTCTATCTATGACAATATATCGACATAGCCTGAAGAATTTCAACACTAATACTGCCACTTATATGTATACAGTTTCACTTGTGGGTTTACAATCTAATTTTTTCACAAACCAGTGGAAGTTTTTGGAGAAGCAAATATTTGGGATTAACCTGAGCGGCGTTGTTGAAGGCAGGAAGCATATTGCCTTTGTTGTATGAAAGAAGAACAATCTCTTCCAATGACAATCCATCTAGATCTGTTCCTACGATTTGCTTGTTTAGGTTCTCTACGTAGGTTTTGTGATGCTTTCCCCAGTGATAATCCAAGGTTTCTCGGCTCATATGTGGTTCCAGAGCATCCTGACATAGATCATCAACAATCACGTCCAAAGACAGTCACAGAGTGAACAACAACATATCCCATTTGTTTCCAGAGCAGCAACCAAAAGAATTTATTTGATTTAAAAGTATGATTCATAGTGTCCTATTTGTTGTTCTTTCATTCGTCTTTGAAACAAAAAGTAACTTTTCATCATAGCTTATTGTTACCACAGGGTGTGCATATACTAGTCCAATGATATGATTATATATTTATATCAACCACAAATCAAACCTAAAAGCTTGAGTTTTTTTTATCTACTTGTTCCCAAATCTTGCTAACGAATTCAAGAAAACGTACAAGAGGATATGGAGGAGGCTTCAATTCAAATCCCGCTGTGATAACATTGGAAACAGCAACCTTTCTTGAGAACCGTCTCTGTGAGATAAAACGAAACGAATGAGAAACCAAAGAAAGAGTTTCAAGTTTCATTCAAGCATTTCATCGAACACTATCTATGCATGGTTTCTTGGTCATGTTACCACTGAAAATAGAGTTCCGGATAGAATTTATCAGTTGATTCGAGCTTCCACGGCTAGAAGGAGAAGTTGAAAAACATACCTTTTCGTTTCTTTTCAATTCCATTCGCCGGTTTGTCCCTGTAACTTCACCAACAAAACCCATAAAAAACGAAGTGTTCATAGTGAATGAGAGAGAAAGAAAGATAGATAGAAAAGGAGAAACCTTGAAAAGGAAGCAGAGAGCAGCACGAGAGAGATGAGGAAGTGGCTGTGACTGCAACTGTCATCATCTTTCTTCAAAGCGTTAACTGATGATTTGATTGATTAATGTATGCAACAAAATATACAGACTCTCTCTTGCTACATAAGTGAGTCGTCTTTTCTTTTTGTAAAAAGATAAGTGAGCCTTCTTATCTTAAGCAATTATATTACACTACATTTTCTTTTATTACAAATTATAAGAATAACTAGATTAGAACTCCTATATATTTTAAATTTAAAATTTTTTAAAAATTTAATTTAATTATATCTATTTTTTATTAAAAATAAAATATAAAAATAAAAACAAATTTATTTAAAAATAAAATTAAAAATAACATATGTCAAATTTACAATTGTCAATTGACTTGTGACTTTTAATTAAAATATTTATTTCACGTGGTAAAGTTTAATTAATTGATTCATATACATTTCAATCATTTTAACTAAAATTGTGATTTATATATATATACTGATTTATAATTAAAATATTACATAACCCGTTAAAAAGAGTAAAAAAACAAAATTAATCATTATGAACATAATAAGATAAGATTAAGAACATTATTGCAAAACTACTTATAATATAATTGATTAAAGAAAGTAGCTTTTTCTGTGTTTATTTTTATATTTTTTTCATAAATATAACTGAACATGAAAAAAAAAAATTAGAAAAAAAATTAGATCAATGTGAACATAAAAAAAGTAAGATAGAGAACATATTTGCAAAACCACTTATCATAGAATTAATTAAAGAAACTGGATTTATCCTTCATTCCATGTTTATTTTTACTTTTTTACATAAATGTAACTGAACATAAAAAAATTATAAAACAAATTAGATTACTGTGATCATTAAAATAGAATTAGCTTATTTTCACAAAACCATTTACAATAGAATTGATTAAAGAAATTTGCTTTCTTCTTTATTATGTGTTTACTTTTATTTTTTCACAAATATAATTAATTGATTCACATACATTTCAATCATTTTAACATAGACTGTGATATATATATATATACTGATTTATAATTAACTATTATATAATTCGCTAAAAATTAAATAAAAAACAAACAAAATTAATTATTACGAACATAAAAAAGGTAAGATTATAATATCGCAAAACTAGCTTTTTCATTCTGTGTTTACTTTTATATTTTTTTTATAAATATGACTGAATATGAAAAAAATAAAAAGAATAAAATTAGATCAATGTGAACATAAAAAAGTAAGATTCAAAACATATTTGCAAAACCACTTATCATAGAACTGATTAAAGAAACTGGGTTTATCCTTCATTCCATGTTTACTTTTATTTTTTTCATAAATATAACTGAACATGAAAAAGTATAAATCAAAATTAGATTACTGTGATCATAAAAATTAAGATTTAGCCCATTTTCACAAAACCACTTATAATAGAACTGATTAAAGAAACTGGCTTTCTCCTTCATTATGTGTTTACTTTTATATTTTTTAACAAATATAATTAATTGATTCACATATATTTCAATCATTTTAACTTAGACTGTGATCTACATATATATACTGATTTATAATTAACTATTACATAACCCGCTAAAAAAAGAAAAAAAAAACAAAGCTAATCAATGTGAACATAAAAAAAGTAAAATTAAGAACATATTTGCAAAACCACTTATCATAGAACTGATTAACAAAACTGGGTTTATCCTTTATTCCATGTTTACTTTTATTTTTTTATAAATATAATTGAACATGAAAAAATATAAAACAAAATTAGATTACTGTGATCATAAAAAATTAAGATTTAGCTCACTTTCACAAAACCAGTTATAATATAACTGATTAAAAACTCACTTTCTCCTTCATTATGTGTTTATTTTTATTTTTTTTCACAAATATGATTTTTCTCTAATAAACTCTCCTCGAGAATCTCATTTGGTAAAATAGTATTAAAGCAAAATTGATTTTTTTCTTTCAATCCGCTTCCGTAATTCTGATTGTTTTTATTGCTTCATTAATTTTTCATATTATCTGATTGATTAGTCAGTGTATTAAAATTATAAGAGATTTTATGTGTTTATAAAGATGTAATTGATAGTTTCTTTTTTTTATTTTAAGATTAGTATTTACTTTTCTTTAAATTTTATTTTTCTTAATTTAATTATATAAATTTTATTTTTTGTTTTTAATTTATTTATTTTTCTTAATATTGTAATAATTATATTTTTATTTTTTTATAAATACAGTATATGTTGAACCAGAAAATCACCACTAAGGATTTGATTAACAGTTGTGGGTTTCGGAGAATAAGATATTTTTTTAATAGTAATAGAGCGAAGCGATTACAAAGATTGGTATAACCGAGAGGTTATGCCGAAGTGAAAGAAGGTGTTTGCGAAGTAAACTAGAAAGCGTTGGAGTCTCTGGTTTTAGCTCTGCTGCTCTCTATATTGTATGAGTTGGTTTCTTCAGCTTCAGGGTCTTCTTATTTATAGGGATAGGAGGTCGGTTGCTCCGGACTCCTTTTCCTTTTTCTCTTTGGTGAGTATTTCTATATTTGCGATATGGAAATATCCCTTATTCCCCGAAGAATATGGAAATTCTCTCTTATCCTTCGAGTCAATCCGATGCTTCCGGACTTCGAAGGTTATCTTTATGAGTTTTCTTTTTCCTGAGCTAGGTCGGCGCAGTCTTCCCAGTCTTGATGGGTTTAGGTTATTGCTAGAGAAAGCTTTTTAGGAAATGTGTTCATTTCCCCTCTAACAGTAAGTCCCCCCAGTCCCGCGAGACTGGTTATAAATCAGATCGGCGGACTTCATGAAGTTAAGAGGGTTTGATCTCGCAATAAGTGTTAGCTCGTCAAGAGCGTTACTTCGCGATGGCCAGCTCGGCTCGATTTTAAGTTAACTTGACGCGTGGTGCTTCCTTTGAATTAATTATTAAATACTCTAACCCATTTAGGGTTTTGCTTTAAGCGGGAAATGCGAAGGGTTTTGCCAGACAGCGAGATTGTGCGAATCTCGACACGCGTCCCTTTAGGAAACTGTTGATATTTCCTTCTGATTTTATTATTTAGTTTCTATCTCTTCGTCTTCTTGCTCAAAGAAATTTTACTCTTTCGTCGACTTCTGCGATAATCTTATCTTCTTGCTGCAGTAATTTTTCTTTTTAGCTCAAAGATTCTCCTTTTTCTCCTTTCGATTCTGATTTTTGTTCGAGTGTAAAATTTTCCAAAGGCATGGGGTTGAGGAAGAGAGATAAGATCCCTTCGCTAGATATCGAGTTTCCTGATTTTCCTCCGAGTAAGAAACCTAGATCAGAGGATCCGCTGCCGGATTCAATCGTTGAAGATATTCCGTCAAGCGAGCCTGATGTGGCTGTTGCGAACGAGCGGTTAACTCCAGAAACTCTAACGGAAGATTTGGAGGTCAAATTGTCAATCGGGGGGCAGGACTCCGCTTTTGCGACGACAGAAGAGCGATAATTTAACCGGCCGAGTTCGAGGAGCAGCTCGCTGAAGGACCCAGAAGGTGCTAATGAAGAGCCCGGTTTTAATCCTCATAAATTCTTGCTTCGCTGGAGCGGGGATTTCCCGGCGATGCTCGACGAATACTTTGCAGCTAATCTGGTCTGGCAGTGCAGGGCGAAGCCGAACCAAGGGGCGTCGGTGGAAAAGTTGAAGTGGTTCGCTTGCTTCTATGGAATGGTTCAATGCTTCGTGCAGGGCTTGGGTTTGTGCACGTCTTTGATTGACTCGTACGATCGAGAATCAGTGCAAGAAGAGAAGAAAGATGAGGAATTATCAGCCAAAGATCGAGAGCTTCGCGATGCTTTGGCGAAGATCAAAGAACTTGAGCGTGAGAAGCTCGATGTGGAGCTCAAATACCAAGCCCTTAAGGTTGACTGCAAAAGAAAGGCGACTTAATAGAGAAAGTTTGGAGAAGGTCTCCGCCGAAGCAACCAAGAAAGCAGCTCTCGCCGAGAAGGAGTTCCGAGGTCAACAACGCAACTCTATTGAGCACGTCGTCAATCTGATGTACCAACGTTTACGCGAGTGGTACGATCCCCGTATTGAACGGATTAAAACATTTATGACGCAGGAGCCTGACATCCACCGGCTCGAGATTAAGATTGTTGACGCCGAGGCAAGAACTGATTGCTGCAAGCGGCTTAGATCGGTGGGTCATAATGGTCGAGGAACTTCTGTCCCACTCTGCTAAAGCCGGTCATCTGAAGATGGAGCATCACATGATCAAGGATGCTCCGCGTTCTCCAGACGACTTCGCTGCTCCAACACGAATTTATATGCGGCCGGGATTCAAATGCCGAAACGGCGTTGAGTCTTCAGCGATTTTTGTAGTTGTTGTTTTTATTTTTAGAAAAAATGTATGCAACACAGATGCTTCTTTAATGAATAAAATTTGACAGCTTTATTATCAATGATATTTTACACTCGTTGACGAGGTGGCCCTTAATTTTAAGGATTTCGCGAAGTCAAAAAGTTTCTTTTGTCTTGCGGTGCGGAGGGCATTCTTTAGGCCGGTGCTGGAAGCAAGATTCATTTGCTCGTCTTATACCAAACGACAATCAAGATCGAATATCAAGATTTCAGGATTCACTTCGGCCTGGAAGGTATGATCGAGGGTCGTGCGAGTATTGTCCTCTGCTTTCGTCTTATCCATCTCGGAAATATTTAAATTGAACCGAAGTATCAAAAGAGTGGTGATCAGCCACTGATTTATTTTTGTGCTTAATTTTTTCGATTGGAATGCTTGGCCAGAACATCGATTCAGCAAGATGCATTCGCAAAAGAAAATACGACTCTACATGCCGAGTCGATTTTTATGGTTGATTTAGACCAGCTTTTTAATTTGAACGCCGAGCTGGTTATCAAAGATAAAGATAGTTTTATTAGAATAATGACTAGACCCGAAAGCTACCTACGTACCCAAAGTGGGATCAAGTATCTGTAGTTCTTGTTAATACATCTCATGCCGAGTTATGGTTTTCAAGGATAATATTTCCCTAAATTCATAGAATTGCGAGCCCGCTCTACTGGCTCTCCTTTCATATCTTCCAGTCTATAGACGTCGGGTTTGACGATTTTTGAAATGCGATATGGTCCTTCCCAGTTTGCCTCAAGTTTCATTGGATTTATGGCTTTTTGTAAGAAAAGGTCATGTAGCGAGAATAGTCAACTTTGGACTTTCTTGTTGTAATATCTAGAGACTTGCTACTGATAATTATGAATGCGTAATAAATCTTTGTCGTAAAGTTTTTCCGCGTTGTCGACAGCGTCGATTAGTTTTTCTCCGTTCAACTGAGGGTCCCAAATCATCAAAGTGCGCCGAGCACTAGGTACATGCAGTTCGGCTGGGGCTAAAGCCTCACAACCGTGAGATAGCGAGAAAGGGGTTTCTCCTGTTACCGTTCAGAGAGTATTTTGGTGTGACCCAAGGACCCCGTCTAGCTAATCTGACTAACTTCCTTTTAGGTCAGTTAAGCGTTTCTTGAGGCCGTCGAGGATAGTTTTGTTAGAAGCCTCCGCTTGTTCGTTCCCCTGTGGGTAGCAAGGCATCGAGTAACTTATATGTATTCCCCAAACATCACAAAAATTTTGGAAAGTCGAAATAATAAATGGCGAGCCGTTATCTGTTATGATCTCATATGGGAGACCGTGTTGACATATTATTTCCCATACGAAAAGTTGGACGTCAATTGCCTTTATAGTGGGGTATGCTTTAGCTTCGGCCTACATTGTGAAGTAATCGGTCATGACATGAATGTGTTGATTGCGAACTGATTTAGGCATTGGTCCAATTGCATCCATTGACCACCTCATGAAGGGGTAAGGCGGAACTGCAGTCTGAAGGAGCTTGGTGGGTGCGTTGATGATGGGCACGTGTTTTTGACATTGTTCGCACCGTAGTACGAATTATTCACAATCTTGGATCAAATTGGGCCAGAATAATCCATGATTTTTTATTTTTAATGTTAATGCCCTTCATCCTAAATGGTTTCCGCCTACTCCTTCATGAGTTTCTACCATAGCCCTCTTTGTTTGCGCTTCATTATAGCATCGTAGTATTACTTTGTTTGCTGTCCATCGGAATAGGTTTCCATCTTCAATGAAGTATTGCGCTGCTTTCCTTCGGAGATATCTAGCTGCCCATCTATCTTGCAGAACTATTTCTTCGGATAGGTAAGACTTAATTTCATCCTGCCAAGGTTGCTTTGGTTGCTCGGCGTCTACTTCCATTGGGTCGTCCGTTTCATCTTCTTCTTGGTGAAGAACCATGTTGCAGGCTCCTTTGGATAATTGGATGTTGGATTGCTCAATGATCTCCACTGTAATTGTTCAGCGAAGTGCAGGATCCGTTGTTGATGCTAATGCCGCCAGTGCGTCGGCGGCTATATTTTCAGTTCACATGATTTTAGTTAGTTCGAAGGAATCGAATTGTCTTGTTATTTCCTGGACCTGTTTTAGGTAAGCATCCATTCTCTCGTTCTTCGCGTCGTAGTCTCCTTTGAACTGGCTGGCGACGAGCTGGGAATCGCAAAAGGCATGAATATTTTTCGCTCCTACTTCTTTGGCGAGCCGAATCCCTGCAAGCAAAGCTTCGTATTCGGCTTCGTTATTCAAGGCAGAGAAGCCAAGCTTGAATGATTGTTCAAGGACTTCCCCTATTGTTGATTTCAAACAGATGTCGACCCCTGATCCTTGCTTTGATGATGCACCATCCACGTACAAATTCCAGCAGCTTTCGGTAGGCGACTCGTCATTTTGTAGATTTGGTGGTATTTTGATCATAAAATCTGCCAAGACTTGAGATTTGGTGCTAGTTCGAGCGCGGTACTCGATATCATATTCGGACAGTTCTATCGCCTATTTAGCCATTCGGCCGGATTGGCTCGGGCTGTGTAGAATGCTCCGAAGTGGTTGACTGGTGAAGACAACGATAGTGTGAGATTGGAAGTAGGGTCGCAGTTTCTGTGCCGACATAATTACTGCATAGGCGAGTTTTTCCAGAGCCGGATAGCGAGTTTCGGCTCCATCCAGAGTCTTGCTTATGTAGAAGATTGGCTTCTGCTCGCCACGGTCTTCCCGGACGAGGACGCCGCTCACTGCCGCTGTCGAGACTGCGATATAAAGGCACACAGTCTCGCCATCCTCTGGTTTAGCTAATATCAGCGGAGTGGTCAAGTACTCCTTTAATTGTGAGAATGCTTCTTCGCAATTCTCCCGGTTAGTCGTTGTACTTCGCGCTTATTTTTGGGCGATGGGAGATCCAGTATTGCCAAAATTTGTTTTGGGTTTGCTTCTATCCCCCTTTAGGTGACAAAGTAACCTAGGAATTCTCTTGAGGTCACCCCGAATATAAGCAATCCCTGAGGTGGCCAACGTGGTCCTTGGCGACTGCGGATTTGACTAGCATATCGTCGATGTATACTTCCATAGTGCGGCCGAGCTGACTTGCAAACATTTTGTGACCAACCGCTGGTACGTGGCTCCTGCGTTTTTTAGTCCGAAAGGCATGACTTTGTAACAATATGTTCCTCGATCGGTGATGAACGCCATCTTTTCTCTATCGTTGGGGTGCATAAAGATCTGATTGTACCCGGAGAAGGCGTCCATAAAGGACAGGAGCTGATTTCCGGCTGTTGATTCGACCAGTCGGTCGATGTGGGGAAGGGGGAAGTAATCTTTTGGGCAAGCTTTATTGAGATCGGTGAAGTCAACGCAGACTCTCCACTTGTCGTTCTTCTTTTTAACTACCACGGGGTTAGCTAGCCAATCGGGATACTGAACCTCGGTAATCGATCCAGCTCCGAGTAGTTTTTCTACTTCATCGATTACCGCTTGTGCTTTCTCGTGGCTGAACTTCCTTCGTTTTAATTTTATTGGCTTGAACGTAGGGTCTACATTTAGTTTATGCGACGTGATTCTGGTGTCAATTCCCTTTATGTCCTCCATAGACCAGGCGAATAAGTGTACATGGTTTCGTAGAAGTTTGACGAGTTCCATTTTTATATCTTCCGTGAGGTCGCCGCCAATGCTAACGACTCTTTCCAGATATTCCTCGTCAAGGCTTACCTGTATAACCCACTCGGGCTTTGGTCTTTTGTGAAAGGGGAGGCGTGGGTCTAAGTCCTCGTTTACCATGCATGTAGTCGCCGTCCTGATTTTCCTTTCGCTGAGGAGGCACATTCGTGTTGTTGCTTGGTCGCCTTGCAATGTGAACGTACTGATCAGTGTTGGGAACTTAATGCATTGATGGTATGTTGAGATGATTGCCTTCATGGCATGGATCCATGGAGTTCCAAGTATGACGTTGTAGATAGTCGGGCAGTCGATGACTGCAAATTTAGCCATTTTGGTTACGCCGCCGATGTAAGTGAGTAGATGTATCGAGCTGGTAGTGTAGGAGGTATCGCCTGCAAATCCTGTTAGCGGTTCTACCATTGTTGTTATTTCGCCTTCATTGATGCTCATTCTCGCCAGTGTGTCCCTGAAGATAACATTGACGGTGCTCCCGCTGTCAACCAAAGCTTTGGTGACTGTGCTTTCGTGAATTTGTAAAGTTACGACCAGTGGGTTGACGTGTGGCATGTGCGAACTGCGTAGATCTTCTGCTGTGAAATCTATTGGTGCTTCGTTCTGTGAGGTGATTGGATTTTGTTTTGCATCCACCGCTTTTTCTTCCTGATGCCTTATTTCCTTTAGCGAACTAGGATCGTCGAATTCCCCTCCTAAGATCATGTAGGAATTGCTGGATGTTGCGTGTTCTCTCGTGAGTGGTAGGATCGCGGTGGCGGTGTTGCCATGCTTGTCGAGACCAGACGTCTCTGTATGCGTAGTGGTGTCGTTGTCGTTGCGGATGAGGTCGCTGTTGTCGATCGGGAGACTCATCACTTCGGCTTTTAATTGCTAGTTTCTAAGAATTTATTCTCCTAGTCCCCATAGACGGCGCCAACTGTTGAACCAGAAAATCACCACTAAGAATTTGATTAACAGTTGTGGGTTTAGGAGAATAAGATTTTTTATTAATAGCAATAGAGCGAAGCGATTACAAAGATTGGTATAACCGAGAGGTTATGCCGAAGTGAAAGAAGGTGTTTCCGAAGTAAACTAGAAAGCGTTGGAGTCTCTGGTTTTAGCTGCTCTCTATATTGTATGAGTTGGTTTCTTCAGCTTAGAGGTCTTCTTATTTATAGGGATAGGAGGTCAGTTGCTCTGAACTCCTTTCCTTTTTTCTCTTTGGTGAGTATTTCTATATTTGCGATATGAAAATATCTCTTATTCTTCGAAGAATATGAAAATTCTCCTTTATCTTTCGAATCAATCCGATGCTTCTGGACTTCGAAAGTTATCTTTAAGAGTTTTCCTTTTCCTGAGCTAGGTCGACGCAGGTTTCCTAGTCTTGATGGACTTAAGTTATTGCTAGTGAAAACCTTAAAGACCAAAACTTAATCAATCATTTGTCTATGAGTACTAAACCAAAATGTGTTTTTGTCTTTAGACGGTTAATAATTACCATGAAAGTGTCACCGATATTGACGACGAAGGCATTGGGAATGGGGAGAATGGATCGCCATTGATTGTCAACAAGGACTTGAAGGCCACTGACATGGTCTTGGTGAAGGATAGTCAAAGAAGTCGGATCACAATGTGGTCCAGTACCTAATGTGAGATCTGGTTGTGCGCATAAGGGGTAATGATTCAGCCTCATTATAGAATCATTCTCTTCGAAAAATCCTCTGAAATATTCTCGGTTTACGCCTAAGCTTAGCCCTAGAAGCTCCATGATGTTGAGTGACAGAGAGCTCATTGCATCACAGTAGTCTTGAAACACCTTCCTGTAAACATAACCGGGGACATTAGTTGTAAAACCGGTTCAATTATTTCCGGTTTAATAATTTTGGTATAAGGAACCGGTTTATGCGAGTATGACTAAAAGTCTAAAACAAAGGAAACAATGACATAGTTGGGGTTTGGCTCTGTTTGGTAATAGGACACATACCCGAATCGCTCGAACTCTTGTCCTAACGTAACGGAGAAGTAATCTTGAACGGTTCTTGAGCCACTATTCTCGTTGGAAAATCGGAAAGAGAGAGTCTCCTTCCATGGGAGCTTGGTGGAGAATCTTCCGGTGAAGCTACAGGCGTAACCATAGCTTTCACCGAGTTTTCTCTTAGCTCTCTGTTTTTCAATGAGAGGCATGTCAAAGAAACGTTCCATGAAACGTTGAGCGTCTGAAATGAGCGACTCGCTGACGCCATGATTGATGACGAGGAAGAAGCCATGTTTGGTGCAAGCTTCTGCGATGAGTGTAGAAGCGTCTGGGGTTGAGACTTGGGTCCAGAGATCGAGCAAAGGGACGTTGAGCTCTGGAGTATCAATGGAAGGTTTCTCTTCGTCTGGCCAAATGAATTGGTTTGGGATTTGAGATTGGAGATTAGGAAGAAAAGGGTTGGAGTTTAATGGAGGAGATTGGTCGTTATCAAGATCTTGTTTTGGTTCATGTTCTTTCTCTGCTGAAGATGTTGTTACGCAGATGATCGGCATTTTTTTTCTTTCTTGAGAGGACAAATGGGAAGTGAGTGTTGTTATGGAGATATGGGAACAATGGGTAAGTCTTTATACAACCAAGCTTTCAAGTCTAGTTAATGTACACTTGTTTTTCTTTCCTTTCTTTATAATAGATTTATTTCCATATTTTGTCCTTTATCTTTTTTTTTTATAATAGATTGATTTCCATTCTTTTCTTCTCAGTTATTTTTTGGTATCCAAGGGATGTACCACATTGGATTTCATACTAATGTATAATAGTAGATTGCATATGATTCATTCAATCTTCATCTTATACAATACATTCTTATCGAAATCTGCAATCATTTTACAATAATATATAATGAAAATTGCAACTGTGTGTATAGACTATCTCAAATATTTTAGAATGTATGACCCTGAATTAAGAAAGATTGAAATTATAGTATTTTCAAAATATAGTAATTGTAAACAAGGAAATTAAAAAATGGAATCTAGGGAGAGTTATTCGAAGATATATTTTGAAATAATTGTTGAAATTTTCAAAATGTATTGTTATTACTAGTTAACAGATTCTGATATTTTTAGAGCATTTTTAATTAGATTATATTTTTTTCTCTAAACTTTATTTTTAGAGTAAAATCATCTCGCATAATACTTTATAATTTAAATCCTACTATAAAAATAATTTTTTTTATATTTAGAATATCACTTTTAATGTACAAAATACTTTTTTGGGATGAGATATTAATTCTATTGATCAAGTTGTAAATAATTATAAATTTATAAGTGTGGAGAAAATAAGACCCTCAAACTTATGCAGATATTTTTATAACCTAGAGAACTGAGGTTATAAATTGATCATAAATCATAAGTTTGTTCGTTTCATAATTGCTTACGACTATTATAAGTTTTGAATTAACTTTATTTTAGCTGTTATAACTTTGTATATATATCTTTTTTTTACTAACAATATACAGTAGTTTGATTATACTAACCATTTATAAGAATTAGTTTTGTTCAGTTAACAATTACAATAATATTTTTTAATCAAATATAAATATAACATAATAATTTTTGTGATAAAATCATAAACTAGATTTAAACAGAAATAGAAAATAATAAAATTAAAATACAGCAAATCATAGAATATGACAAAACAAATATTAGAAATTAAATCATAAACTAAAATAAATAAAAACAATTTAGTATCCAAAAGTAATACACCAAATCATCCAAATAGATGTATAAGAGCACAAACTACTTTTCATAAAGCAACAAAACTCGAAATATATTAACAACAGATCCCCATTCCAAAAGCTCTTTGCTTGTATCATCTCTATGCATTATCATTTCAATAGAATGAAGCTCTCTTTTTGCTCATTCGTTGCATTTTTAATCGCTCCAGCTCCTCCTTGCATCTCACTTTGCCATTCCAACACTTACCTAACGTCACAAAACCAATAGCCATCGTTGCTGCAAAACATGAATCTCATGTTCAGGCAATAGTGATTTGCTCAAAATTTTGTGGAGCAATTCTAAAAAAATTTCAGAGACAAATCCAATGTTAATTATCTTCATATCATATTCAATTAAAAAAAGCTGCACAAAAACTTTATAACTCAAATTATCACATCATTCAAAATTCATTAGAAAGGAAGTCGTACTTAACATCGATCGGCGTTATATGGTTATAATATAAAACCTGACTTCTCTTGCTGGTTCATATCTGGACGGAGGTGAAAATTTTATTTTTTTTATAACAAAAATCGAGTAACTGTGATCAATCATTCAAATGAGTTTTTAAAATTTACGTAATTTTGTTAAATTTATCTGGATGGACCAAATTAGATCATTTAGATGGAGATATCGAGTCTAAAATAATGAATGTCTAAAATATCCTTATCTATATGGAGTATGTAGATGCAAATTTCAGATGAGCAAATAAATATGATTTAGATGATATAATTTACAATTATCCCTAAAAACCAAAAATCTAAAAATCATATTTTTCCGTCGAAACCATAAAATTAGATTTTTTTTTTCTAAAATGGCTGAATTGTGTTTTTCTCCAAAAACATGAAATCTAGTAACCGCACAATTGCATTTTCCACAAAACTGTTAAGACTGCAAAATCATGTATTTCTGTCGGATTTTCCTGCCACAATCTCAAAATTGATTTATTCCACCAACATCATGAAAATTATTTTTTTCCCTACCAAAACTGTAAAATCGTGTTTTTACGCCAAAACTGCAAAATCACGTTTCTCCGTCTAAACCGCAAAATCAGGTTTTCTTTCCAGAATTGTGAATTAGCTTTTCCCATTTTTTTTCTACCAAAATTGTAAAATCATTGTTTTTTGCCAAACACCAAATCGCCTTCTCTTGGCAAAACCACAAAATTGCATTTTTTCAGCTAAAAAATTATGTTTCCCACTATAACTATAAAATTGTGTTTTTCACAATAACTGAAAAATTACATATTTCCTGTAAAACTATTTGATTAATATATAAGTTTTAAATCAAATTAAAATTAAAATTACTAAATTAAAATTAAAAATATGATAAGATTAAAACATGAGAATTTTAGTCATTTTATTATAAAAATCATCTAGATGAAAATGTAAATTTACAACCAACTAATCAAATAAACTAAATTACATTCTGATGAATCATCTAGATAAACAACCAAAAATAGAACGAACAACATTGAGATGGAACATTTGAATGGAGCATTTGAATGGAACATTTGGATGTAAATGATATAATGAGCCAACAAACATGCCCTAAGTCAAATAAAACTAGTGACTTTCTGGAATTGAGCATCTATGTTCATATCTACTCAAATATCCATTTCTCTCCTACAAAGACTGCAGATCGTCTGCGTCCCCGAAACATTTCTTTAACATCTGATTTCATTAATCTTAGTTTAGCTTATATAATCCTAAACTAAAACAAATATATACATCCTAAGAGTCATCTAAACAAACCTTAAGCCCTCACATAGTTAAAGGACCAATTCGTTTAACACTCTCACGTCCACTACACTCCTTCAAGCTTGTCTTCTCTAGACGGATATAATGCATTTGGCATAGATTGAAGTCCTCCTTCTTGGCTGTTGAAAGGGGCGGTTTGAGCATTGAGAGGTGGTCCTGGCTGAAATTTTCCAGTTCCTCCATAGTTCATATTTAGGAACTTCTTTTGGAAGGGTTCTCCACATTTAAGTTCCAGTAGGAAAAGTTGTTGTTGTTCTGTAAGTTGTTATTGAATCTATTATTGAAATTCCGGTTCGGATATGAGTTACGTCCTCCAATGAAATTCATTTTTTTCTGAGAGTATGTATTCTTACCAGCATTTTCTTGATGAAAGTCATCTTCACTGCCTATGGTAGCTTCAGGCGAGTTCATTGTGTGTTGCTGGCCTTTAAGAAGCTGGCTCATTATGTTCTTAACCTCATAAATCTGCTCAGAGTTGGAATCTCCAGTTTGGAAATTTTGATCATAGTCAGGACAGTAAGATTTTCTATAAGTGTGCATCCTTGGCGCTCTATTTTCTACAAGCGAGCCTGATGTGGCTGTTGCGAACGAGCGGTTAACTCCATAAACTCCAACAGAAGATTTGGAGGTCGAATCGTCAATCGGGGGGCAGGACTCCGCTTTTGCGACGGCAGAAGAGCGAGAATTTAACCGGCCGAGTTCGACGAGCAGCTCGCTGAAGGATCTAGAAGGTGCAAATGAAGAGCCCGGTTTCAATCCTCATGAATTCTTGCTTTGCTGGAGCGGGGATTTCCCGGCGATGCTCGACGAATACTTTGCAGCTAATCTGGTCTGGCAGTGCAGGACGAAGCCGAACCAAGGGGCGTCGGTGGAAAAGCTGAAGCGGTTCGCTTGCTTCTCTGGAATGGCTCCGCGCTTCGTGCAGGGCTTGGGTTTGTGCACGTCTTTAATTGACTCGTACGATCGAGAATCAGTGCAAGAAGAGAAGAAAGATGAGGAATTATCAGCCAAAGATCGAGAGCTTCGCGATGCTTTGGCGATGATCAAAGAACTTGAGCGTGAGAAGCTCGGTGTGGAGCTCAAATACCAAGCCCTTAAGGTTGACTGCAAAAGAAAGGCGACTTAATAGAGAAAGTTTGGAGAAGGTCTCCGCCGAAGCAACCAAAAAAGCAGCTCTCGCCGAGAAGGAGTTCCGAGGTCAACAACGCAACTCTATTGAGCACGTCGTTGTTCTGATGTACCAACATTTACGCGAGTGGTACGATCCCCGTATTGAACGGATTAAAGCGTTTATGACGCAGGAGCCTGACATCCACCGGCTCGAGATTAAGATTGTCGACGCCGAGGTGAGAGCTGATTACTACAAGTGGCTTAGATCGGCGGGTCATAATGTTCCGGTCGAGGAACTTCTGTCCCACTTTGCTAAAGCCGGTCGTCTGAAGATGGAGCGTCACAGGATCAAGGATGCTCCGCGTTCTCCGGACGACTTCGCTGCTTCAACGCGAATTTATATGCGACCTTCGGATTCGAAGCTGGAGGCGGCCGGGATTCAAATGCCGAAACGGCGTTGAGTCTTCAGCAATTTTTGTAGTTGTTGTTTTTATTTTTAGAAAAAATGTATGCAAGACAGATGCTTCTTTAATGAATAAAATTTGACAGCTTTATTATCAATGTTATTTTACACTCGTTGACGAGGTGACCTTTAATTTTAAGGATTTTGCGAAGTCAAAAAGTTTCTTTTGTTTTGCGGTGCGGGGGGCATTCTTTAGGTCGGTGCTGGAAGCAAGATTTATTTGCTCGTCTTATACCAAACGACAATCAAGATCGAATATCAAGATTTGAGGATTCGCTTCGGCCTGGAAGGTATGATCGAGGGTCGTGCGAGTATTGTCCTCAGCTTTCGTCTTATCCACCTCGGAAATAATTAAATCGAACCGAAGTATCAAAAGAGTGGTGACCAGCCACTGATTTATTTTTGTGCTTAATTTTTTTGAATGGAATGCTTGGCCAGAACATCGATTC